GGTGCTATTCAAAGAATGCTTTTCATTTTCTGAATAATTGTAAAACTTTATCTGATTGGATGGGGTGGAAAGGCGGGCTGGTGACATCAAAATTTCCACCTTGTCCAATCAGAGAATTCTTTGCATTCATTTGCTGACCTCTGGTATTCACGATGCAGCAGGGCAGCTGCTCAGTGCAGGACCCAGAAGCAAGTGGATATCACTAGAGTAGCAGTGCCTCTCATTGCAATATCGGACCTTTGTTCAGAGGTCTACAACAAAGAGTGAATGTACTTCCTTCTGGTGTACCCTAGCGGAGGATAAAGTTGCCTTAGTAGAGTATTTCATGGATAGGGTACAGAAGATTCAGCTGCGGAGCCTCTGATGACAACATACGTCGAAACATGTTAGGGAGAGCCACACTCTGAGTGATGTTTCCTGCACTGAGTCTGCCTGGACCCGCAGCCTGTTTGCAGCTGGAGCCGGCAGCTTTACTTGTATATGCACATACCTCCTGAGTGCTGGCATGACACATGGCAATGTGAGTGCACTTACTGTATATTTCTTATCAATAAATAGTGGATCTTTTTATGCTATGAAACTGTCCTTTCTGTTTTTGACATGTTGGCAAATGGTCTTGAACTCTGAGAACCTCGCATGACTGATTTGCAAGTTCATTAATAAAAGGAGTGGATTAATTAATCCATCTTTGGATGTTAAAGATTGCATAGGACTCTAACAGGATCTGAGATGGATTGTATAGTGTATGACACCTCCTAAAAGTACAAATTGTTATTTTGTTTTGTTATTATTATACAGGATTCAGGGGCTTATTTACGACAAGGCAAACAAGGCATTTGCCTAGAGCAGCATTTTTTAGAGGGCAGCACTGCCCCCTGGAAGAAGGGACCTATGTGGCATGGTGACCAGCTGGGATCCGAGAGGCTTCGGGCTGCTTGACAGTGCATGCAGAGCCCAACTCTCATTCCCGGGGATGTCCAAAGCTGTGAAGGTGAGTGTCTTTCTTTCTGTCGCCGTGGGGGGTGGGTGTTAGTGGAAGGCTCTCTTGGGTGGGGGGGATGGGGCAGGGGTGTTGTTGGTCACTGTCAGGCTCTCTCCACGGGGGGTAGGGGTCTCTCTCTGCCAGGGAGGGGGTAGCCAATTTTTGGCAGCACAAAACTTAAATACACCACAGACAGGATTTATATAGTGCCAACAGTTTGTGCCGCGCTTTACAATATAAAAGGAGAGAGTACAGTTACAGTACAATAAAAACAAGAGGATTAGGAGGGCCCTGCTCATAAGAGCTTACAATCTAATAGCGTGGGGCAAGTGGTACAAAGGTTTATAACTGTGGGGGATGAGCTGATGGAAGTGATGAATGTCAAGTTGGAGGAATGATTAGGTTTCCCTGAAGAGATGAGTTTTCAGCTGACAGATGGAAGTAGAGAGTTCCAGAGGATGGGAGAGGCTCTGGAGAAGTCCTGGAGACGAGCATGAGAGGAAGGAACAAGAGAGCTTGAGAGCAGGAGGTCTTGGGAGGGGCGGAGGGACAGTTTGAGTTCTAATTGGAGACAAGATTAGTGATATAGCTTGGCAGTTGTGAATAGCTTTCTATGTTGTTGTAAGTATTTTGAATTTAATTCGCTGGGCAATCAGAAACCAATGGAGGGATTGGCAGAGAGGGGTGGCAGACACTGAGTCATTTACCTGAAGAGGTGAAAGACACTGGGTGTTTGACATCACATTTTGAACAAAGAGGTTTGCTGTATAATTTTCTTTCATCTATTTATTTATTTACTTTGCACACATCACATTTGAAGGTGGACATTAAGAACGGTTTTTTTTTTTGTTTATTTGAATAATTATTATGGACACATTGTTTGTGAACTCAGTAGAATAATTTTTTGAGCACAATATTTTTGAAAGTGGATATTTTTTTGGTACATTATTACGCAGTGGTATTTATATCACTTTTTTGTTTCAGGTAATTTAACACTTTAAAGTGCAGTCACACACACAATTGTTTTGCTCAGTTATGATGCCTGTATGAAGATATACGTATTTTCACCACCGCAGCCTCTGGGTTCCTGTGCACCGCTTCCCTGAACTTCTGGTCAGAGAGGGCATACTCATAACTTTAGTGGGAGTTTCACTGTTACCCCTCCTTGAGACTACAAGTCCCATAATTCCATCGCCACCTTGGCCACTGTGCATGGGTTCCTCATCAGTCCTCCCTGACTGCCTGTTTATGTCGACACAGATAGCATCAGCATGGAATCTCTCTCTCCCAGGAGAACACACATAAATGTGGCTCCATGGGACCCTGGAAACCAACTAACCCACCTGAAAACCAAAAACCTGGGGTGGTGATCTTTGGACAGCTCAAATACAGTATTATACAGAGGAATAAGAAGCAGCACACAAGGTAAGTGAAGATGTTGGTTACTGTAACGCTTTCAGAGGTAGAAACTGGGCTTTTTTACTTGATCATGAAAAGACACTTCTTCATAACCTCCACCACCAGAAGTGCGCTCGTTCTCTGATTGAAACCCACTCACATGTGCTTTCTCTCCCCTTATGCAGTATCTCTGAGCTCAGAGCTTGACAATTCACTCCTGTGATGGTGGAAGTGACCAGTAACAGTTGGGATTGTCTTAGCAATGTCCTAGCAACAAGGCAGGACAGGATGATGCAATCTCTGGGAGTTTTCCAGTCAGGCTTCAGGAGGCATGTAAATGGCCTCCACTTATAGTAAGGGCATTCTTCAACTTTGGCCAAAGCTGCAGTTTGTGTTCATCCATAGGCACCCCTTACCTTCTTATCTGCATAGGCAGTTTTTTGGTGTACCTTTACGGCTCTGTTCAGATTTCTGTGATGTGGGAATGTATGCATTCTGCAAGATTGAGTGTTAGGGATTTTTCACACAGACATTCTGCTCAGGTCCGCCTGCCCGTTTTTCAGGCGGACCAGATCGAAACCTCCATTCTCCTCTATGGAGCGGCAGATGTAAATGTACATGTGTCCGTTTACACCCAACAAATCTGATCCGATCTGCCAAAGAGGTATGGATGGAGATCCAATTCCCCTTCTGTCCATCAGATCGGATGAAAAATGGACAGGCAGTCCGTTTTCATCCGACCACCCGTTGAGGAGAGTGAGCACACTGGGTCTATTTGTGCTTTTTTTAAGATAAGAGGTTCTTTTGAAATTTGTTAAATGTTACAGCTACAAATTCCAGTTTTCAGGAGGGAGGAGGGGAGGAAGATCATTGCTCATGAAAAACAAAAATGACTGTCACGTACAGGTTCCATGTCTTGATTGCGCACAATCGTTACACAAGGGGTGGGTTGAAATGGGTTAGGGGTGTGTTTTTGATGGATTGAGCTGAGGCTGCTTTTATTTGGAACTCTCTACCCCAATTTATCAGACTATCGCCTACTCTGCCCACTTTTAGGCGATAGTCTGAAAACCTATCTCTTCAGGGAAGCTTATCCAGCCTTCAGCTAATAATGGAATCTTCTATTCCTCCTACCAGTCCATCCCCCAGTTATCACCTTTTGTACCACTAGCCCCTCCCTCCTAGATTGTAGGCTCCCAGGAGCAGGGCCCTCCTTTCCCTCTTGTATTGAACTGTATTGTCTCCCATTATATTGTAAAGTGCTGAGCAAACTGTTGGCGCTATATAAATCCTGAATAATAATAATTTGCCTTCAACATGGCTAGGTGAAGAGTGCAGCAGATGGGAAATCTCCTTTAGTTAAATTGATGGGTTTAGTTCTGTTTTAGTATAAAAAAAAAAAGGTCTGTACCGCAGGATCCCCCCACTTATACTTGCCTGAGCCTGATCCATCGCTGTGTCTGAGAGCAATGGCTCACTCCCTCCTCATTGGACATGGAGACACCAGCGGAATCCACTGGCTGCTGTCAATCAGTCAGTAGAGTGTGCGGGGCGAGGCCAGGCTGCGAATGTCAGTGGACACATGGGAGAGATTTACTAAAGCTGGTTCACTCAGAATCTGGTGTAGCTGTGCATGGCAGCCAATCAGCTTCCAGCCTCACCTTGTTCAGTTAAGCTTTGGCAATAAAACCTGGAAGCTGATTTGTTTCTATGCAGAAGTGTCCCTGATTTTGCACTTTCCAACTGTAGTAAATAAACCCCACAGAGCCCGCCTCGTGCCTGCATGAGTGCCCCCATAGCAAGCAGCTTGCTGTGGGGACACTCAGAAGAGGTGAGGAGCCAGGAGCACAGGCAGGGGATATGAGGATTGGGGCTATTCTGGGTAAAGCCATCACAATAATCAGATGAGTGTAACATGTTATTTAACAAACGCTTCTCCTTACAATGACTTTGTAAATGTTTCATTGCTGGATACACGTTTTGGCGTTCGCAGTGCACAGCAGCCTTCACAGGTGGAATGATTTCTATGGACTAATGAAGCAATCCCACTGTACCAAGTCCCACCACCGTGCACGGCTCAGCCATGTCTCCGCTTCCTCCCACTCAGCACGTGGAGGATCACACAAGCGTCCTCCCCCTATCCAGCGCCCTTTGTTCTCCCACATTGTACGTGCACTCGGTTTGAATGATAGATTCAAGTCTCGCGATCTTTCTGGCAGCCTCCAATTGGTGGAAAGGAAGCACGCCTCCGGCGCCTAGTTCACTGAGCTATGCTAAGAGATACAATTGCAACAGGAAATGGGATTTCCATACCAAAAAGCCGAACGTTCTACCAGAGCGCTGGCTACCTAGAACCACGCCCACAGCTTCCGGGAGTAGCCGATTCTCTTTTTAGACCCACCCACTTTCTCCGAGAACAGCCGAGCCATAAAGGCGAGCGGGATTCTCTTTGACGGAGACAACCGAGGTGTAAGATAGGTCCAACCCCCTTTTTTTCCGGAAACAGCCGAAGTTCCTTAGGTAAGTGTGGAGCTGTTGCCTCGTCTTCCTCTTCAAGATAGAGAAGGAAAGAAGGGGCCGCGCTTTAGACGGCGGCCGCGAGACCGCATCGGCCTTCATCATGTCTGACTTCGATGAGTTCGAGCGGCAGCTGAACGAGAATAAGCAAGGTGAGCACACTACCCGCCCGCTAAGAGATCCCGCTCAGGCCTCACACTGGGCGGCGGCGAGAAAAAAATGTGCGCGGCTGTGGCCTGGCTGGGCGGAGCTCTTGCTGTGCGGCAGCCTGTAATAGAGGCCCAGCCGGCCGGAGGCCCGGGCCTAGTCACACGAGGGAGGCGCTGCTGTGTGCTTAGAGGAGCCCGGCCGCCGCTACGCCTCATGGGCTTGTGCAGGCCGCGCTGAGCTCATGGCAGCTCAAGGACCCCTTCTCCCATTGTTTGCGATGGCGCCTATGTAGAATGGGTGATTCCCAATCCGTACAGGGAACCGAGTTCAGGCTTGGTGTGTGGGACAAAGTCACAGATTCTACTGGTGATTTCTTCATGGCCAATCCGAGCACTAGGTGAACATACACCTCGTTCAGTCTGTGATTATTTCCTATGGGTGGCCAGCAGCATGTTTCTGGTTATGGACCTCTTTGCTCATATTTTAGTTTTTATAAGTTATTTCAAGTAATTAAATGTTAATTATATTTCCTGTTTATCTTCTAATGCTAACAACATACGGATTCAATGTTGATGAAGAGTGAAGCTCCACTTTAGGCCCAGTACATACAAGGAGACTATTGGTAGAATGATCATCTCCTATCGAAAACCAGTTACTATTCATTTGCCCTCCTGAGGATTTACCCCCCTTCCTGACCAGGCCATTTTTTGCCTTACTTTAACCACTTCATGTCCAGACACTTTCAGTCCCTTCCTGCCCAGTCCAATTTTCAGCTTTCAGTGCTATCACACTTTGAAAATTGTACGGTCATGCAACACTACCCATATGAATTTTTTAGCATTTTTTTTTTTTTTGAGACATAAAACTTTATTTTGGTGGTATTTATTCACCACTGGGGTTTTTATTTTTTTGCTCCATAAGTGAGAAAGTCCAAAAGATTTGAAAGTGTTTTTTCTTATAAAAATGTACAAATCTTTCTTTATAAATTTTGGCCAAAATGTATTCATCCATCTTTTTAGTAAAGATAAAAAATAACTCAAATTAGTTTATAACCAAAATTTATAATAGTAAAAATTTTTTTTTACATTTTTATTCATTTTTATTTTTTTTCCATACTGTCACCCTAGCAGTACAGTGTCACCATAGTGACACTACTACTTGTGGGGGGTGATGTTTGCTGATTGCTTTTACACCCATAAAGGCTGTAAAAGCAATAATTTCTCCTTCTCTCTGGCTATGTTCTTGCAGCCATTGAGAAATACTGTGTGAGCTTTGATTGGTCACAGCCTGTCACATGGTACAAGGCTGTTGTGAATAGCCTTGTACCTTGTGATCTCAGTGATTGTGCAGATTTCACACATAGGAAGCAATGTCAGAAGTGGCATCTTGCTTACACCTATTCATGTGGTCACTGATTGGGCAATCAGTGATATCATGATCGGAACCTCACACAGAGGTCCCGTGCAGCAATCGGCCTGGACACAGCGGGCACTGGATCGCGGTGCCGCGTGCTCTCAGGGAGCGCGCACAATCCAAAATGGGTGCCGTTTATGAATGGAACCCGCCCCTGCACTGCCACCATGCGGCCGTTTATATACAACAGCCGGAAGGGAAGTGGTTAACTGACAGTTGCGCAGTCATGCAGTGCTGCACCCGAATGAAATTTCCATCTTGTTTTCCCACAATTTTGAGAAAAAACAATATATTTGACTTTTTGCTATTAAACATGTCCAGTAAAAAAAATTAAAAAATTATATTTTCATAAATTTAGGCCAAAATGTATTCTGCTACATGTCTTTGCTAAGAAAAAATAAAAATCACAATACGTGTAAATTAATTGGTTTACGTGAAAGTTATAGCGTTTACAAATAGAAATTTTTTTTTTAAATGTTTACTAGTAATGGTGGCGATCAGCGACTTATAGCGGGACTGTGGTGGGCATTCTGACGGGGGGGAACTGACCTGGTGTCACTGACATCACCAGTGACACCAATATAGTGATCAGTGCTAATAAAAAAAACCACTGTACTCATGGCACTGTGCAGGAAGGGGTTAACATGAGGGGTGATCAATGGGTTAACTGTGTGCTGTGTTCTGTTTTACTCTGCTTTGTCTGTGTGCTTCACTGTAATCACACTGCTTTGCATAGTTGTGCACAGCCATCCAAAGCAGTGTGCATGAGCCAACAGGGAGAACTGTTTTTTTGCTTACCAACAGTTCTCCCCCCCCCCCCCCCCTTTGGAGACCTTCAGAAATCACTGGGCGCTGGTGAGGCTGGGACCCGGTAATTGGCGGCGTAGGTAGGGTGCACGTGCCCCCTACTCAGAGATGCAGTAGCAGTGTTTCTGCTATAGGGCGGTCGGAAAGCGGCTAAAGTCACAAATTCTTGTAAGACACAATAGATCTTCAGATGTGATGAAATGTACTGTAATGTATTTTTTTCATTTTTGAGACTGCGCTGTCTTGGTCACTCAAATTTTTTAATTTTTTTTGTTTGAACAATGTATCGATTAATATAATTTGTTTTGTTATCATACAAGAAAAACATTTCCTGCTTGTCTCTTTTGATAATTTTGAATGAACTTTGTTGGTCCGTGGCCCAGCCACGGCACCACCTGCCTGCAGCTTGCATGTTCTCTCTGTGCCTGTGTGGGTTTCCTCTGGGTACTCCACTTTCCTCCCACACTTCAAAGACATGCTGGTAGGTGAATTGGCTCCTGTCTAAATTGGCCCTAGTATGTGTATGTATGAATGTAAATTAGGGACCTTAGATTGTACACCCCTTGAGGGTTAGGGACTGATGTGAATGTATAAAATATATGTAAAGTGCTGTGTAAATTGACTGTGCTATATAAGTAGGTCTTATTGACAAATGATATACAGTATAGAAGCTAGCAAGTAGTTTGCACAGAGGCACCACGAGAACTGCCATTGCAAATCTGCAACATTACAGTTTTGTTGAAGCCAGTAAGAATACCGTATATACTCGAGTATAAGCTGAGTTTTTCAGCACATTTTTTGTGCTGAAAAACGGCCCCCTCGGCTTATACTCGAGTCAACGTCTGCAGGGGGCTGCTGTCTCTTACCTGGCTCCGGTCCCACGACGATCCGGTCCAGGAAGCGCGGCTGCTCCTTCATTCGGTTCGTCCACTGGATGTTCGCGCGGGCTGCTCGGCTCCGCCTTCTCACCGGTGATTGGCCGCCAGAACTGTAGCTCAGGAAAGGCACACAGGCGGCCAATCACCGGCGAGGAGGCGGAGCTGAGCGGCCCCGCGAAAATCGAGTGAAGGAGATGCAGGTAAGTGTGCCGTGCTTAGGTGCTGCTGCAACCACATATGCTGGCTGCAGCAGCACCATACTGGAACAGGGGTCAGCAAGTGTCAGTGGGAGGAATAGTGCCCCATCGTTGGTGTCACTGATGCCAATGATGGGGCACTATTCCTCCCCCCCCCCCCCCCCCCCCCCCCCCCCCACTGACACCAATGATGGGGCACTATTCCACCCCCACTGACACCAATCATGGAGCACTATTCCGCCCCCCCCACTGACACCAATCATGGGGCACTATTCCTCCACCCCCCCCCCTGACACCAATGATGGGACACTATTCCTCCCACTGAGACCAAAGTTGGGACACTATTCCTCCCACTGAGACCAAAGTTGGACACTATTCCTCCCACTGAGACCAATGATGGGGCGCTATTCCTCCCACTGACACCAATGATGGGGCGCTATTCCTCCCACTGACACCAATGATGGGGCGCTATTCCTCCCACTGACACCAATGATGGGGCGCTATTCCTCCCACTGACACCAATGATGGGGCACTATTCCTCCCACTGACACCAATGATGGGGCGCTATTCCTCCCACTGACACCAATGATGGGGCGCTATTCCTCCCTCCCACTGACACCAATGATGGGGCGCTATTCCTCCCTCCCACTGACACCAATGATGGGGCGCTATTCCTCCCTCCCACTGACACCCAATGATGGGGCGCTATTCCTCCCTCCCACTGACACCAATGATGGGGCGCTATTCCTCCCTCCCACTGACACCAATGATGGGGCGCTATTCCTCCCTCCCACTGACACCAATGATGGGGCGCTATTCCTCCCTCCCACTGACACCAATGATGGGGCGCTATTCCTCCCTCCCACTGACACCAATGATGGGGCGCTATTCCTCCCACTGGTGTTCCCACCCTCGGCTTATACTCGAGTCAATAGTTTTTCCCAGTTTTTTGTGGTAAAATGAGGTACCTCGGCTTATATTCGGGTCGGCTTATACTCGAGTATATACGGTACTTGGTTTACCTTTTTTAACTTTTTATTGCTGATAGTTTAACCAGATAGAGCCTGTGATTGTATTGTGTGTTTTTATCCCACATTTTATATCTTGCACTAGCTTATAAGTGGCTTAATGCGGGTGGGCTTGAACCTGGAACACGCCTGCTTGCAGTTTTGCTTAGCTATGCTGCTGTTTGACTAGCAAACACACTTCGTTGACATCATTAGAAAATAGGGGTGCATTGAAATTTCAGTGGCTGAAACATTTTGGCCAAAAACACCCCTATCGGCTGTTGGCCGATATGAAAATAAGCACCGATACAGGTGCCGAAAATAACCCCGTCCGCCGCTGCTCGGTAGTTCAGTCTTACCTGAGAAAGCACTGAACGATCCCGGCTCTGCACATAGAGATAAGTGAAGGAAAGATGGCCTCCACTCATCTCTATACCCTTGGAGGACCCGAGCGATGTCCCTTCCGGTTCAGGCACCTTGTAAACGAGGCCCTTTTTTTAGCACTAGATCAATGCTTTTTTTAAAAAATGTATTTATTTTTTTGATCTAATGCTTGACATTGTAGAGGAGAGATGTGGGGTCTTATGGACCCCATATCTCTCCATAAAGAGGACCTGTCACTACTTATTTCTATCACAGAGGATGCATGCATCCCTTGTGATAGAAATAAAAGTGATTATGTTTTTATTTTTTTAAAGGG